ATACAAATAAATACATAAGTTTATAATTATAGATGAAAAACTTTAAATGACCTATGGAGATATACATACACGGTCTCCATATACACAAACATAAAATTCTATTCATGCCTGGGGCCAATGGACATGCTCACAATCCACTGGCATGCATGGGACCCCAAAATGCCAAGGGAATTGCTTACTGCCAGTTCCACTGGACCCTTGCCTGATGGCAGGCACCAAGATTGTGCCCTTTTAAAATACCCAGTCCAACCGCCAATACCTCCCAGGGAGAATCTGTTCTCTTTTCCTGTCAAAGAAGATAAGTACCCTTCCTTTGGAGACCCAAGGGAGTCCTATAAGATGGAGTCCAGGTGTGTGGGAGGGTGTAGGAAGGCTCCGAGCAGAGACAAAGATTAGCTTATTCTGAACCCCCATTTCTTGTCTGCAGTTTCAGCATGAATGGAATCAGATGGCCCAGGCTGGAGGAGGGCCAAGGGCTTGGACTGCACTGAGGGCTGCCAGAGCATTCCCAAAGCCAAGGGAGTGGCTCCAGGCTCTGAAGGCTGTACATTGTTGAGCAAGCCCACTCTGACCACATTTAACTAATTTAGGGAGTTCTATAGAGGGAGTAATTAATACCTGGATAGAAAACACCTGAGGTGCCTGAGGCCAAAATCATTTGCTGATTAGCACTGAAAGAGATAAATGGCCTGGAGACACACTCTGGCCACCAAAGCAGAAGACACATTGGTTCAAGACACACTGTTGGGTCCTGTCTTCCCAGGTAGATGGATGAGTAGATACAAGTAGGGTTTATCCTGTTGGCGAGCATGGTTGGAGTGTGGGAGATGTGAAGCACACACATATGCAAGACAGAAGAGTGCGTAGAGGCCCAAGTCCTTGAGCTGTTGTGGACCCTTGGGCCAAAAGCCCTGTGAGACTTCACACATCTCTTAGGCCTTTCTCCCCAGTCTGAGTTGGGAATGGCTATGACCATGATAGCCGATAATATTCCTGTTACAGGCAGATGATTGATAGATAGATGAAGATGAGAAAGGGGGAAATAGTATATAACATAACCTCTTTCAAAATGCATAAGCCCATGAATTTGTAGATATAAAATATAGAAATTTATTCCTATAAATATGTAGCTGTATCTGCCAGACTGGTTGCTTCACCAGACCACATAAAAGAGAAAAATTTGAGCTGGGCATGGTGGCACACACCTGTGGTCCCAGATATGCCAGGAGGCTGAGGTGGGAGAATCACTTCAACCCAGGAATGAGAGACCTAGGCAATATAGTAAGATCCTGCCTTAAAATTTTAATTTAAAAAATAGTAAACAAATTTAAAAATAAATGTACACATATTTATGTCTACACATAAATAAAATATATATTTACAAATAAATATAGGTGACATTAAAATATACATATATATATAAAGTAGAAATATAAAGACATAAATAGAAATATGTGAAATAAACAACCCAAGTGTTCAAACCCAGGAGTTCAAAGGCCCCAGCCAAACTTATCAATCTCAAAGAAAACATTGGAGAAATCAGCAGGGAAGTTTGGGACATTTTGTTACTTATTCAGTCCTGGGTGGTGGCAGTCTGGGATACAGTGGAGGGCCACTCTGTACCTAAAGGCAGGAGGAATACATAGGAGAAGTTGCATACCCACTACACAAGTGGATTTCTTCTGATGCTTTATAAGGACATTCCTTTACTTTACAACCAAAGTCTTTCTGTTTAGATCCTCTCCTAAAAATTGAAGATAGGAAAGTCGCCAGCTCCCCCTTTCCAGTTCTCACATTACCATATTCTTTTTTTATTGTTGGTTTTTCAAACATTACATAGTTCTTGATATATCATATTTCACACTTTGATTCAAGTGGGTTATGAACTCCATTTTTACCCCATATACAGATTGCAGAATCACATCAGTTACACTTTCATTGATTTACATATTGCCATACTAGTGTCTGTTGTATTCTGCTGCCTTTCCT